TCTCGCAGCTTGCATCTTTCGGATCAACTCTTCCCTTGGACACTCGTGATTTCTTCCCGTATGGTTCACATACATTTGTCTCGTTGTTGTCACCAATTTTATCTAAAATATTCGCAGAATTTGATCGTACACGCTTCGCTCCATTTTCAAAGTTTTCTTTGTTATGATTTTCGTCACTTTCGATTCTGACACGATCAGAGCAGTTTGACTCTATCTTATATGCACGCGTCAGTTGATTGGCCGGAACACGAACTATCGGAATCTCTTCGTTTTCCAAATCTTCTTCTTCTTCTTTTGTTTCCACATTGGGTATCTCCCCGACAGAAGCTTGTTCATTGCTTTCATTATGATCATCTTCGGTTTTAATCTCACGATCAACGTTTCGAAAGCGAGTTTCTCTGGATGGTAGCGAACTGGTGCCAGGCCTTTCATCTGAACTATCATCATCGCTGATTTCAATAATTGCATTTGAGTTGTTATTTTCGTTTGAAATTGGAGCGACACCTGTACCTTGACGTTTAATGAACGACGATTCACATTCAAATCTGGAATATACTTCATTTAATCTAAAGAAAAGAAAGAAAGATAATGATAATATAATGAAAGGTATAAAATACAAAATTCAAGGATGAATTACCTGTCAGTTGAGCGATGTAGACAATATTTCTGATGTGCTTGGTGGAACGATTGACCTGATTGTTCGAAATAGTTATTAATATTTCGTAGTGAAGACATCGCCTGGCGTTCAATGTTCGTCAACATTTTGTCCAGTTCTTGCATCCAACCATTGGACGACATTTTCGAACAGTTTCTAGTGATATGATTCTCGGAAAAATTTAAAGGGAGGTTTTCGATTTGTTTTTCAGGCACAGACAATTTAATATGACTTAACTTGCAAAAAATTAACAAACTGCACAAAATATCTAACTATTGTGGTAACCAAAGTACAAGATTAAATTCACTTGAACTTCACAAGGTGTTTTCTTAACGAAGACGTGATTACGACTGAATTTGAAGAATTTCCCTTGAAGATTTGAAGTTATTCAACTTCAACAAATAAAATGTAAAAACAACAAGAAGAAGCCATTTTGAAAGCATTAAGACAGACTAATTACGAATTATTTTTATGATGAATTGTTCCTAACTACAATTCTATAACTATAGTTTCGACTTCGCTCTCATTTTCAACAAAAAAGAATACATTTTATTAGTAGCAATAAGATTATAAAAACTAAAAATGAAGGAGAGAGATATTTTTGCACTCTCTTACTCTTTTGTTCGTTTAAACAGTAGAAAGCATCAACAAAATTACATTAAAATTTAAGGTGTAAATTAGTCTTCAAAAATGGTAGATTAAAAAAGATCCTATATATTTTTTGGAAAAAACAAACCCGGTAATATGATGGCTATTGTCCGTTCCTAAATCTACGACAACGCCATCTTTTGTTCCCCATCTGTTGCGAGTTTTTTAACCAACCAATATTGATTGGTTCAAATTAAATAGTTTAATATACATTCAAAAAGGGTTCAAGTCTAATCCCGACTATTTGAAAAATCCTCAGGTAAAATATTAAAACAAAACTTGAAACAATTTTTTTCGATTTCTTTTTTTTAATTGTCGTCGATTTCATGGAGTAAAACATATAGAAACAATATATACAGACAAACATCACACTTCATAACAGAAGAACGAAACATGCTGTGTATGAAAATACTAATACATGTGCGCATGCTCAGCTTCGTTTCTGTGATGACCACTTTAAGCGTACATGTGATGGTTGTGTATGTATTAATTCTTTAATCTCTACAGTGTACTGTCAATTTCGCTCCTTCAAATCGATGGCAATTAATAATAAAATGAATTTTGTATCAACAAATGATTTTGAATATGGTTTCAATGATTTAAATGAGGATTTTCAAAAAATGTAGGATTGAAATTAAATTCTTTTATTTTATTTTAAATTAAAGTGAAAATTTTGTCACAGAAATAGCTACTGATGGTGTGTAACTAAAGATGGCGTTTTCGGTTTAGATGCCACTGACGTTTACATATAAATATGTCAACGCAATCCCCGGTTAGAAAAAACACACTGCAATTATGTTCCATAAGAGACTGTGTAAAATGCAAAACTGTAGCACAGCTAGCGCCGCTACGGGTAACTATGTTTTTTCTCAGCCATAGACTATTGGTTAGCGTGCCATTTTTGTGAGCGCGAGTTTCAATAAATATTGTTCCACTTGCTCCGGTTCGTTCAGTAAATGAAACCAATGAAACGGTTTCGGTTCAATTCTCTAATTAATATTTACTAATTAGTTCGATTGAAATTTCGAATACGTGTACGTTAAAGTTAAAAGAGAATGAAAATGCCTGAAAAATTTGAAAGAACTAAATATATTTTTATCTTAAACATCGATCAATTTTATTGTATATTTTTTATTTCATATCGATATCGCTATATATTGGAAATATTTTCATGTCAATAGTGAATTAAATGTACATAACAACGCTATTCGATACTATTTTAACGAAAGTATTATGATGCTTTTATCTTACAATTGTTTGCTAAGATTTACTTTTGAACCGAGTGTCTTTAAACAGCAACCACTTTGATGCGGTTTTTCACTGACTTACCATTGGATCGCTTCTGAAGATGATCAAATTGACGCCATTTCCCTCCACTACGAGAATAATATTTAAATGCAGACTTTAAACAGTAACAAATTTCGTATTATTCTGACTAACACAGATCTTACACTCTCTTCCATATGTCTCTTTTTCAATACTTTGTGAAAATCAATGGTGACGCAGTGAACAGTGGAACAGACTATCTTTATGACAAATTATGAATCTTCATATGCGTAGTGAGGCTACTCTTTTGATTAAATCGCATCTTACACCGACCACATTCATATGGTTTTTCTCCAGTGTGAATTCGAATGTGCTTTTTGAGATTGGCTATTATATTAAATCGCTTCTTACACTGATCACATTCATATGGTTTTTCTCCAGTGTGTATTCTCATATGTCCTTCTAGTTTAG